TCCATAAATAAAGTTTTATTGGAACACAGCCATGCTCCTCTGTTTATGTATTCTCAGTGGCTGCTTTTGTACTACAGTGGCAGGTGGGTAGTTGGAACACAGTCCATATGAACCATAAAGCCTAAAATATTTACTGTCTGGCTCTTTATAGAAAAAATTTGGCAAACCTTGTGCTAGATACTAGGTACAAGCCCTGAAGGGGCTGAGTGGAAGCAATTGGGTAATTTCCCCTTTTCTCATCAAAGAACATGAATGTGGTGGACCCTTAGGTCCCTAGGTGGCTCAAACAGTTTGCGCTTAACTACTAACCTAAAAGTTGGCGGTTTGAACCCACCCAACGGGCACCTGGGAAGCTGCTTTAATGAAGATTACAGCCAAGAAAACCCTATGGAGTAGTTGTCTGTAACATAATGGAATCACCATGAGTCAGAATTGACTCTATGGCAGCAGGTTTGGTTTTTTGTTTTCCATTTCCCAGTTTAAAGATACAGAAATTGAAGTTCAGAGATTTATAGGAGTTTCCTAAAGTCAGAGTTAGTTATTGGTATGGTATTGGTAAAGAAACTTAAACATAGGTCTCCCTGCCTACTCAGTTTCGGAGTCCTAATAGCCTTACTAAAGTGGGGTAAGATCTTGGACAAGGTACTTACTCAGTCCTTAGGCTCCTTTTCTTCTCCTTTAATATTTTTCACTAATGAAGGAGCAGGGAAATGGATTTATAGTTAAAGGGCTTGCCATGGCAATTAGAATGTAATCCCATAGCCAAAAGGCCTGAATGATCTGCCTTGTCTAACTCTCCCACCTCTGCCTTCCATTCTCTTCCTCATTCACACAGCTCTGGTCTCCCTGGCCTTCTTTCAGTTGTTCCAACACGCAAAGCGTCTTAGGCTTTTTACATACACTTTTCTCTCTTTGTATGAGTCGGAATCGACTCGATGGCAACGGGTTTGTTTGTTTGTTTTTCTCTCTCTGTTTGTGGGACACTATCCCAGTCTTTGCCAGGTTTTGCTTTTTCCTGTCCTTATGTCTTGATTAAATGTCACTTCTTCAGATGCATTCTCTGACGTCCTTAACCAAATCATCTCCCCTAACAAGGGAGCGATATGTTATTTCTCCACTTCTTTCAAACCCTTTATCACCATTTGTACTTATTAATTTGTGTGTTCACTTGTTCAGGTCTGATGGCTCCCCACTGGAAGTTAAAATCCTTGCAAGCACAGACAAGGGGTTTTACCCTGCCGTGTATAATGCCCTCCAGTACAGCGCCTGGCTAGAAGAGCAGAATAAATCTTTTGCGGAATCAAAGAATGAACAAGGAGAAGGATGTGTGAAACGATGAGGGCGCGCGGAGAGAGGGGGATTGAGCTGACGCGCCGCCGCCCGGCGAGAATCAGAAGGCTCCTCCCTTTCCGGCCGCGGTGAGGATGCCTCTGCTGCCACAGCGGCTGAGCCGCAGAGGGCGCCAGCTCGGCCCGCCCCTTTCTCCCCACCGCCTGCTCTGTCCCGCCCCGCGTTCCACCGCCCCGGCCACTGTCAACTCCCTCATAGTCCGGCCGAGACACGGTGTATGCTGAGCCGTTACCGCCGCCAGCTGCTGCACGTCCTGAGCCTTAGCTTCCCGCTGCTGACTCGCCGGCCGCTTCTCCTCTGCCCTCACCACCTCATGAAGCCGTTGGTCGTGTTCGTCCTCGGGGGGCCGGGCGCCGGCAAGGGAACCCAGTGCACCCGCATCGTCGAGGTGAGACCCGGCCAGCTGGTGGGCTCCCTAGAGCTTGACGGGACGCTGTGGGTGGAGGGGCCTGCTTGTCCCGCCGCCCCTGCCGTCGGTGCCTTCTAGAGCCGCGGAGCCACGGACTAGGAGTCCCGGCGATCATCGCGCCGCCTGCGTGGCTGTGGCCGAGTGTCTGCAGGCGCGCGGCATGTCGGGACTCGTAGTCCCCGTCTCCGCCCTCGTCGCGGGTGCCCAGCATGGAGGGGGACCTCTTGGGGTCGCTTTGTTCCTGCGCCCCGTCGTTTATTACATTTGGAGACCAAATTAGTCTGAAGGGTGGGCTGGAAGAGGGATCCCGGGAGGACCAACCTCCAGGAACTCCCAGCGCCCGGAGGTCGGTGTGTCGCTGATTGTGTGATGGGTGAATGCAGTAGGACCGCGGATTTAGGTTAGAGACGGTTTGTGGCCACAGCTGCTTGCGGGGAGACCGGTTTTTCCTCTCCGCCCCTTCTCTCAGAGCCTCTAAATTCCGAAACCTCAACAAGCCTGTCTTTACCCTAGAAAGGAGCCCCGTGGGGGCGGTGTGTTACTTTAGGTATTCTGTCATCTCGGGAGAGCTCTTTCTGACCCCGTCAATGGCAGGCTTTTGGGCATTGCCAGCTGTGAGGTTCAGCCGGGATTTGTGTGGTTGGAAAAGCCATGGAGCCGTGAACTGAGATCACCCTTCAACCTCTGGCCCCACTGCCAACTCACGCTTTTTCCTTGGGCAAGGCACTTCGTCTCTCCGAGTCTCAGTGGCCCCTTCTGTAAAATAAGAGATTGTACAACCAGATTTACCCAAAATATACAGTATCTCCCAGTTCTAAAATAGTGTTACTTTTCTTTTGCTTCAAGGCATGATAAAATTACCTGTTCATCCTATTAACAGTTTTCCAACCGGAGTGGCAGATAGGTGGTTAGCTTCAGTGATACCGTGAGGAAAGAGGTTTATTGGAGAATTTGAGGAATGTTTGGGAGAGAAGGAAAACAGGAAATATCTAGAAAAAGAAGAGGTGAGCAGTGGTTGTAGAAAACACTCGAAAGAATTCGTGATGAAACTCAGTGATCAACAGAAGTTTTTGATCCAGAACTTCTAAAATAATTCCCACCACTTTCTCTCTTCCAGGATATGGCCTATATTAGCTGTGGGATTTTACTCTCGTCTTCTGTGTTCATACAGGCAACCCGAGTCCTATATTTTATTCTCTAAAGAGCATCCAGAAAAAGTGGGTGATAACATCTTATTCATTGTTCTGCAGTTGTATTTATAATTGTTGATCATTTTTAGGAGTAAAAGTGTTACCAAAAAAAGGAAAGTATATGTAAATATTTTTCTCCTGCTTATTTTTATTTTTGTTGATTCTTCTCATTTTCCTAAAAGACAAATGACAAGTGGATTATTTCCAATTTTTGTATTATATGTGAAATGACTATTACGTGTAAAAAGCATGAGAGGGTAAGGAGCAAAGACTTTAGGTAAGGGTTCAGACCCTGACTGTGATTTACTGTTTCTTTAGACCCAGACAAGTTGTTACTTTTAGTTAAGTTTCTCTGTTTGTAAAAAGGGAGAAATACTATTTGTCTTGTATGGTATTTGTGAATATTAAATGAGGCATATGTAAAATATCTGGCATGCATAGACAGAGGCAAAAAAATGTTTTCTCAGCTTTAGACTTGCTGATATTATTAGATAGTTTTTACTTTGAAGTACTATTACTTTTTAAAAATTGGTTTATGACTGTTACATTTGAATTCATTTGAATATTTTGTTTCTGACTTATAGTGTGGCTTTCAATGTTCACACCCAAACTAATAATACCCATATTACTCCACTGGATTAAAAATTACATACACATTCTGTCACTAGTATTTATTCTTTACTCTGTATCAGTGATGGCTGACAATATGTTAAACCTGCTGATTGTCAATTATAAAATTCCATGATGGGATAATATGTTCTCTAATGTATTATATTATTCTTTAGTGTTTCAGCAATTATATGAGCTATTTAATTTTGAACTGTTGTTTTCTTTCATGAAATTTTTTCTCTCGATTCCAATTGCCATAAATGTCACTAAGCTGATATCAACTAATTCCAGATAACTTCATAATTTAGCAGTTGATATCCTCTAGCTGACTAAATAAATTAGAACATTGGAATGTCTGTGATTGGTTAAATCAGATTTTTTTCTTTTTTTGGTGAGTCTATAGTATTTTAACACAATATTTCATTATACAGACAAACATAAACTGAATTCCAAAAGATTTTTGGAACCAAAATATTTTTTCTGTAGGGAAGAACAATATAAATCAAGGTTAAATTCCCCAACTACCATGCCAATGGTAATTTAGGTCATCAGGTACCTGAAATTGGCTGGATAGAATTATTTCTTTGGGAAAGCTGCTGAGGCTGACAGAAGCACATCTTTGAGCGTTGGTTATAGAACTTGAGGATATCTTGCCCTCTAAGGCCCTGAGGTGGAGCCCTGGTGGCCTATTGTTTAAGAGCCCAGCTGCTAACCAAAAGGTCTGCAGTTCGAATCCGCCAGCCACTCCTGGAAACCCTATGGGTCAGTTATACTCTGTCCTCTAGAGTCCCTATGAGTCGGAATTGACTTAAGGGCAATTTTTTTTTTTTTTTTTTTGGTGAGGCTCTGAGGCATGTCAATTGGGGGATGTGGTGTGGTTAGAGGGATCTAGTACAGTACTTGTTTTCTCTCTAGAGACAAATTCTGCTAGTTGCTCTGCCGGATCCTGGGGAGGAAAAGGCAAAACAGATACCATCTGTTTTGTGTTGTGAATTGAGAACAAAAGATTTGAGAGAGGTTTTAGGGTTGACTGCCCATTTATTTGTACTGTTCTTTTTCAATTTGTTTTTTTTTTTTTAATTTTCTAGCAAATTGTTTCTAATTTGTGTCCTGCAGTACTAAATGTTTTTGAAAATTAACTATATTCTAAATCAGTGTAATTCTTTTATTAGAATTAAGTGCTCAGAGTGGAGTTAATAACTTATTACCAAAAAATCATAATGGAGATAATGTGTCATTTAAAAAAATTTTTTTTATTAAGCTTTGTTTATATTTGTTGTTTTGGGCCAAGAGAAATTATAGCACAGTAACCTAAACTCATCTTTGAAAATAACAACCACAATTGTGCAACCGTTAGCTGGAAGGAGTATTTAAACCTCTTCTCTCTCTCTTTTTTTTCCCTACGCATACAATTTAGTGATACTGATTACATTCTTGGAGTTGTGCAACCATTCTCACCCTCCTTTTCTGAGTTGTTCCTCCCTCATTAACATAAACTCACTGCCCCCTAAACTCCTATCTAATTGCTGTTGTCACTTTGATCCCTTGTAGATAGTTATTAAAAGAGCATAATGCTCAAGGCAGACCTTTTTCACTAGTTCAGCTAAATTGTTGTTTGGTTTTAAGAAGGCTTCATGGGATATTTCTGGCTTAAGGTTTAAAGATTATCTCAGGGCAATAGTTTCAGGGGTTCATCTACCCTCCATGGCTCCAGGAAGTCTGGAGGCCATGAGATTTTGAAATTCTGTTCTGAATTTTCCCCTCTTGATCAGGATTCTTCTATGGAATCTTTGATCAAAATGTTCAGTAATGGTAGCTGGGCACCATCCAGTTGTGGTCTCATGGCAAAGGAGGCAATTGTTCATGGAGGCAATTAGCCACACATTCCATATCCTCCTCCTCTTCCTGGTTCTCTTTCTTCCTCAGGTGAATAGAGACCATGTCTTGGATGGCCACTTGTAAGCTTTTAAGATCCCAGGAGCTATGCAACGAATTAGGAGGTAGAACAAAAGTACTAAACACATTATTAGGCCGGTTAACTGGGATGTCCCATGAAACATGACCCTAAACCTCCAAACCAAGGAACCAAATTCTGTGATAAACCTCTTCTCTTTTAAAGATGGTGAACATTTTGTTTACATAAACAAATTATGACTAAAGCTTATATCTGTGTCAGATTGCTTTTTTAGCATCCAGAAAATATTCTTATCATTATTTGTGTCATAACTTCCTCTAGGGCCCATATGATACTTTCCATAGTACTCATACTTTACATAAGGAGCTCTGGTGGCACAATGGTTTAGTGCTTAATTGCTCTGTGGGAGAAAGACCTGGTAATCTGCTTTTGTAAAGATTACAGCCAGAAAACCCTATGGAGCAGTTCTGCTCTGTCACATGTGGTCACTATGAGTTGGAATCAACTCAACACCCAACAATAACAACAACATACTTTACGTAACCATTCTATTTGCTTAGAAGAAGTTTTGGGTGATACTGACATTAAACATGTAGAAATCAGAAACTTGGCTTTATTTGTGTCTCCAGTGCTGAGTATTGTGCCTGGCACATACCAAAAAACCAAGCCAAACTCGTTGCCATCGAGTTGATTCTGACCCATAGCGACTCTATACGGCTTCCAAGGCTGTAAATCTTTATGGAAGCAGACTGCCACATCTTTCTCCTGCAGAGTGACTAGGGATTTGAATTGCCAACCTTTCAATTAACAGCTGAGTGCTTAACCACTGTACCACCAGGACTCCTTGCCTGGCACATAGTAAGTGCTAAATAAGTATTTGTTGAATATTTATAGAAGACATTTGTTTGAAGATGTTTAAAATTTTTTACATTTGGTCCCTAGAGGGCACCCAAGTAGCAGTTAGCGCCTCCAATTTCAGGACTGGAAGTGTTTGAATGAGACCTAGCTCTGTCTTCCTCAGATTTTGCATGTAACATTTATGTTTACTCTCAGTGAATAATGGTGTGGTTATGAAAATCTGTTGAGCATTCTAAAGTTTCCAAGCTCTTGATTACAAATTCTCAAAGCAGATTACCACTTATAAAAGAAACCAGGTAGAAAAATCCCCTGGATGTTAAGCTTGTTTAAGAACAGGCCTTTCTCTGTCTTTTTTCTTGGGGTGAGGTGGCGTAAGAGATATTTTTTTAAAGAAAGTTTCTATTTTC